GTTCTGGAAAATGGTGGCGCTGGAGACTAAATGGTTCCTGGTGATTTCACACCTAATTCTTCACCTTAATTCCTAATTCTTTTGCAGTTAACATGCATCTTTTCTTCTCCACATGTTTTTGACTGACCCTGCTGACCCACTGAGCATTTTGCTGTCCAATGGTTATGCATTAACGTTGCAATTTCTAGTATTGTATTAGTTTTGAATATTGCTCATGGGCATTTAATAATTTTTGACTTTCAGTCTGAGTTAAATCTCTTTTTTTGGCTCATTTTATCTGTAAAAGAAAATCTGCATTTTTCACTTCCAGCCTTCATGAATAATTATATATAAATTATAAATGATTAAATACAAGATTAATAGTAGTTCTTAAGATTGATGTCATATGGAATTGGTTAGGGGTGCTCCGATTTATCTGCCGATAATCACGTTGGGATGATTGATCGGCGGTCTCTAAAAAGGCCGATCTCAAGCTGATGACGCAAGGTTTGGCACGACATGCAGCGGCACCGTCTCAGTCTCTCAGCGCGGGTGAAATAATTATAATGCTGAAGGTGAGGTACTCACCTTCATATTTCTTCATTAGATAACTTATAAAGTAATTTTAAAACCTTGTGTGAGACGTAATTTCACAAACAGCGAGATTTTTTCCGTGCTCATGTTAACAGATTAATAAAGCGCGCACACTGCACACGGTTGCTGTCCAGCAGTGCGTTCCACAAGCGGTGCGTCTGCAGCAGAGCAGAGATCGTTTCCGCACCGAGTCTATTTTTGGTGCACTGCAAGAGCTGAATTAAAATAACAGCGCATTTTTTTGCAGTAAATGTGAATATGGATTGACACGAAAATGTAGTAATTACACCATAAATGCATATTATTAAAGTCTACTGTGTTTGTGTTTTTTTGCCTGTGCCTGTGTTTACAGGTTACACATGGCTTTTTGGCTAGGTTTAAAGGGAAAGAACACTTTTAGATAAACAAGGCAATAATAGATGGCACTCGCGGAGGTAGGAAAACAAAGTTCTTTATGAACCGCATGATTGCATTTAATAAAGATTTAAATGCAAAGGAAAGGCAGCAGAGCTGACTATTTCTGTCAATGGTAAGTTTGTGATAATGTAAGAAAAGTAGTTTAAATGTTTTGCCACTTGCTTGAGCAACTTAATATATGCTAATTATTCTGTTCCTGTGGCTCAGTGGTAGAGCATTGCGTTAGCAGCGCAAAGGTTGTGGGTTCGATTCCCAGGGAACACACATACTGATAAAAAATGTATAGCCTGAATGCACTGTAAGTCGCTTTGGATAAAAGTGTCTGCTAAATACAAATGCATAAATACAAATATATGAATCTAAAGTAAATGCAAAAGTAAAAAGCATTGAATAATGTGTTGCTTATATTTATTGTGCTTAAACATGTCTGTGAAAGATTGTATTACTGTACTGTGTGAAAAAAGAATTGCAATGCTGAAAAAGCATATTCAGTGACAATGTTTGGATTTGAAATCAAACTAATGGATAAATGTTGTGTTTGTTGTAAACAGCCATGGATCAGTAGCGGACTCCTGTGTGAAAGCACAGTCCGTGCTGCTTCCCCTCTCACAAGAGTCACCTAAGAGGGGAATTCCCTCCATTTTCAAAAATTCAGGCCCTGAATAAATGTCTAAAAATCCTGATTGGAGTATCACTATAAATAGTTATAAATAATAAAAAGAAGGCTTTAAAAAGATAGGTATCGGCAGATATTGCTTTCTGTGATCGGCGATCGGTGATTGGCCTCAAAAATCCTGATCGGAGCACCCCTAGAATTGGTACAATGTGCTGGGAAAAAAATATGATCAGAATATCAACTTGCATAACAATTATGCATGCACTGTATTTTTCCTCTTCTGCTGTCGAGGTAATGCAAGGAATGTTGGGATTGGTTGTCAAGGCAGCCAATCAGCATTTTAGCAGCCTCGTCTATGATTGGCTTATTGCATATTATGGCATATTGTAACGCTGGGTTGTGGTGAGCAAGCGAGCCGTTGCCATTAGGCATTTAGAGAGCACCGAGGGCGGGCATCAGGTGAGCAAGCTAGTGAAACATTGCACGCGCAAAAGAGAAGGTCTGCACACATCGAAAAACGTATTTGAAATGCAAAATTGATTTCCGTGCGCTCGAAATACCTTTTTCTCTTTATTCTTTGCGAGACAAACATTTTCTCCCCAAAACTCAGTTTGCGCGCGTGCAAAACTCACTTTTGAATTGTGGCAGAGATGTAATCCCATAAAATCGGAAGCAGCTTGATGTGAAGATCAAACTCCTTTAGGTGCTTTTTGAGGCTTTAAGGGAAAACAAAGCATAGATTTTTTTTATAGTTTGTTCAAGGCTTTTTAAGTGAAGTACGTTTTATTTTTATTGTATAAAAATAGAATTAGAATTAACATTTAACACTATTTGCTTAAAGTAGTCTTGTGTTTGATGAAAAATATACCCAAAAGTTGAAGATTTTTTATTTTTTTTTGTGGTGTACCATTCATCAGTGTCTTTGCAAATATACACGATTACTATAAACTGACGTGACGGTGATTAACCTAATTCTTTTGTTGCTATACATAAATATACATTTGCATAGTCGGGCGAACATAATAGCCCGATTTTGTAAATGTGGCCAATTATATTCACATTGAGCACCCAGTTTGCGCTTGTCTATAATTTAAATTAATAGCTTACATTTACATATTTAACCCAGCATTTTTTAGAGTGTATAGTGCATAATAGAACAAATTGTTGACAATGCTTGAAAATTGTCAGGGATTCAGCATTCCGGATGGGGGCGGGAAGGTCATTCCATAAGCCAGGAACAGTGAACGAAAATGTTCTGGAAAGTGATTTTGTGCCGTTCTGTGATGGTACCATGAGGCGTTGCTCACTTGTAGATCTCAGGCTTCTCTGCAATAGCAGAAATACGCCTTTTTAATGACAGTAAAGGTCTGTGTATAATAAAATTATATTGAAATAAGGAAAAAAATAATTAAGAGATTGTTCAGTTTAGTTTTATACATACATTATTATATCCATATATATTTTATTCTAATGTCACAAATAATATTCTCAAGGTTTACTGGGTTTTATTCTTTTCTGGAGGGGATGTAGATTTGTAAGAGTGAGTGGAAGTAGGAGGGTGCTAAGCCTGGGGCTGTTCTATACACAAGAATCAATGTTTTGAACTTGATGCAAGCCGCAACTTGTAGCCAATGCAGGGAGATAAAGAGAGGTGTGACATGGGCCCTTTTGGGCTCGTTGAAGATCAGATGTGCTGCTGCATTCTGAATCATTTGTAGAGGTTTGATTGCGCATGATGGAAGTCCTCTTTTATTCTTTTGTAGTATGGGTTTGGTGAAGTGTACTAAAAACAAAAAAAAGTTTTCCAAACTGACCCACAACCTAGTCAGTTTGTACATAAAGTAATTAATTAATCAACTCATTCATCATGTGAGACCCTTAAATTTTGAGTGTTGTACCGGTGCAATGACAAATCGGGTCCTCCCTATCCGTTAGGCTAATTATTATCCTAAATACATAATTTAAAATGCGTATGGCTTACTATACACTCTAAAAAATGCTGGGTTAAATATAACCCAGCGCTTTTTAGAGTGTATAGTGCATAATAGAACAAATTGTTGACAATGCTTGAAAATTGTCAGGGATTCAGCATTCCGGATGGGGGCGGGAAGGTCATTCCATAAGCCAGGAACAGTGAACGAAAATGTTCTGGAAAGTGATTTTGTGCCGTTCTGTGATGGTACCATGAGGCGTTGCTCACTTGTAGATCTCAGGCTTCTGGAGGGGATGTAGATTTGTAAGAGTGAGTGGAAGTAGGAGGGTGCTAAGCCTGGGGCTGTTCTATACACAAGAATCAATGTTTTGAACTTGATGCAAGCCGCAACTTGTAGCCAATGCAGGGAGATAAAGAGAGGTGTGACATGGGCCCTTTTGGGCTCGTTGAAGATCAGATGTGCTGCTGCATTCTGAATCATTTGTAGAGGTTTGATTGCGCATGATGGAAGTCCAGCCTAGAAATGACAAGGGCCTGGACAAGAAGTTGTGCAAACTGTTAATTTACATTATGTACATTATATATAATTTACATTTTGATTTTTTGTTTGTTTGTATTCTGTAAAGCTGCTTTGGAAATTATGTTAAATAAAATGCATCAAAGTATAAATAGAAACGTCTCTAATGTTCACCAGATTCTCCTTTATTTCTAACTGCTTGTCTTCATTTAAACTGTATTTGAATACAAAACAGTAATACTTTGAAACTTTAAAGTGTTTGTTTCACCTTTTATTCTTACTATTGTACTGAATTCAAATTTTGAGCATTTAGGGTGTTTACTAGCTGCTGTTTGGTGCACTTTACAAATATTAACAGGTATTAGGTGATTGTAGTATTTTAGATATTAAGAGGAAAAAAATGCATTTGTATGTCTGTCTTGCATTTTCCATTTAGTATTTCTGCATCACAGCAATATGCATTCTAGGATGTAAAATAGAGGAGGTTAGACATGACCAAAATGAATTTGGGTAACATTAAAGCCACGCTTTGTGAAATAGTGGGGGTAACAGATTTCGGTAACCCATTATGCTGCCTTGTCAGATTTAGTGTTCCTGCTGTATGTCTGTAGTTGTTCACATCAGAGCAAAATATTTTCTAAATTACAGAAAAGAGGACTTTAGACATTACCAGGGTAGCTTTGTATAAAATTAAAACTTTTCTGTGTGAAATAGAGAGGGGTAACAGATTTTGGTAACCTGTTATGGTGCCCTGTAAGATTCTGTGACCCTGCTGTGTCTCTGTGTCTGTTCACATAAGAGTAATATGCTATCTAGGATATAAAATAGAGGAGGTTAGACATCACTAGAGTGAATTTGTTTAACATTAAAGCCATTTTGTGTGAAATAGTGCGGGGTAACGGTAACCTGTTATGCTGACTTGTTGGATTTGGTGACCACTGTATGAATTCTAAAATACATGAGAGACAAATTTAGTAAAATTCCTTTTAGAATATGAAAGAGAGGAGGTTAGCTATCATCAGAATGAATTTGGGTAACATTAAAGCCACTCTGTATGAAATAGAGGGGGTAACCATTTATTTATTTATTTTAATAAATGAATCTGTTTTACAGCACCACTGATTTGACACGTCTATTTCACCACAGCATTTCAACAGACACCCCCTTCACTCTGCCGTGCTCTCAATAATGTGCATGAACGCAGGCATATTCTTGTACAAACATTTACTGAACAAGTGACCTGTGGTCACAGATTTCTTTCATCTGCGTTCAGTGTTAAACACAGATTCTTTTCTTAAAAAATCCTATGAACATTAAGTGTGATCCCTCTCTGTTTACAGTCCAATGCCAAATTAAAAACTTATATTTCTTATTCTAATGTTGCCACTGCTGGGGTTATACATACTTCTTAATAAAGATTGCAGATTGACTCTGAATGTAATATTCATGTCTACGTTCTTTAGGTTTTCCATCAGTGTGATGTGGGTCAGAAAGGTTATTTGTCCAGAGAAGATCTTAAGATAGCGGTTGTCATGCTTTTTGGATACAAGCCATCAAAGGTACAGAAAATAATCAGAATCACTTGCTTGATATTCTCCAAAATATACATTTACTGTCTCTTTAACTGACATCCGCTGTGTTCTGAAATTCTGAAATTCTATTCTGGGATGTTGACGAGTGATATTCGATTCCCTGAATCAATCGTTCTTTTGATTTGGATCTTCTCAATGACTGAACGGTTGAATGGCTCTGGTTGAACTGATTCACATAACTGATTTGAACGATTCATTCAGGAATCAGATGGACTGAAATCAATCTGAGCCGTGCTGTGTATGCCGTCAACTCATGATAGCATTAAAAAAAATGTGTACTGTTTTTATGTAACATCAAACAGATAACCTCAATTTTCCAAATTTGCATGTGGGCATTCAGATGCTTATTTTTTGGTTTGGAACAACATTCAAGTATTTTCGCGCAGTACAGTTCAAGTGCGCAAAAATCAACACAAAATAAAAAAAGCCATTTGGAAATAGCCTATCATCTAATCGGTCTTTGTCAGTCAAGTGCGTTTATTATGTGTGACACCACAGAGGCGCCATTTTGAAGGTATTGTTGCATTGAGCAGTGAACTGAAAGTATATAGAGCAGTACAGTAAATACCAATTAAATCGTCAAACTGGAGAAACTGAAGCAAACCAAATAGATACGACACCGAGATAATTTCAGCAAAGATTTCAGGAACCGTAATTTATATAAATTGTCATTGATTAACAATACTGATCAATGAGTTTTAAGATGCAACAACATTGCACAGTAACAACATTCAGCATCTTCTGAAGTCTACTGAAGATACTGATATTTATGTGCATACAGTTGCAGTGCAGATGCACTGGCAACTTGCTCTCGAGTGTTCACGGACCGTCTTTGACATTCCAATATGGCGGACGGCTTGCGTATAGCTGCCTATAGAAACAGCCACTAATAGGGCATCTAGCTATACATATCTATGTCGATAACTACCAGTGGATCTATGTCAACAGTTTTACTGAGTGAAAACATGTTTACAATACTTACATAGTGACAACTATTTCAGTGTCAAGTATATATTTATTTGACTGACTTGTGGAATAATAATTTTAATCAGAAAGGGATTGGCGATTTTTAAAAAAACTATTTAGAGTTTTGAGTCATTTTTTTGTAGTTTGTTTATATATTTATATTTATAATATAACATTAATTTTATATTTTCTCTTGCAGTCAGAGACAAATGTTTTGATGGAGAATGGCACTATTAAAGACTGTCCAGGTAAGGACATAATATAGTACTTGTCATATTGAATTACTGCATCACAGTTTGCTGTACAGTTGTAGACATGCCAGCCCAATGCTGTGTATTTTAGTGTTTTGCAATTCACCTTCAGCAGATGCTCAACCCACATGTATTTGCAGTCCAAAATTATATGCACAATTTCGCTCCTGATTTATTTTTGTGGAAAACCAAATTTTATACCGCTCAGGCAAATTGAAAGGAAAAGGAGCTTGACTTAGATACTGTGTAATCTTTTTACTCATTGCCAGTAATGAAATCCTGACAAACAGCGGTAAATAATGTTGCCGTGAAATGCATACAGGATTTCTACAGGCCCTTTTGACAGACAGAAACACTGAGGAAAATGGGGGTTTGGCAGGACAGCATTTTGAGGGAGACATTAAATGGTTGAAGACCTAGATTAGTAAGTAATTTGTTTCTTGTTTTATCCCACAAGCAAATTGCTTTTGTGCGCTGCCCTGTGGGAAAGCATAAGATAATCTAGTTAAAGTGGCATGTTTTGAGTGATGAAATATTCCACCATTAAATCTTGCTCAGAGCAAATGGTGAATTAAATTGCCCCTCTTTTGAATTTCATGTGATTACTAAATTAGTGATGGTCGGGAGGAGAGGGTTGCTGGTTGTGATGTGGGAGGCTTGACTAGACTCAATAGTGAAATGCTCTGGCAGGCTCATTCCATGCAAAAGAGGCCGCTTAAGGCTTCAGTGCACTGTTGCCAACTCTCACGAGACAAGTAGGCAAACCTCAAAAATCAGCCCTATATTATTTGATTATTTATTATCATCAATATTATTTATTATCAATTATTTATTACCAATAAATGAGCCTGCAACATATTAAATGAAACCATGAGGGAGAGGAGGGGGCGGAATGTTTGATGAATTACGCTACAGCACTTATATTATTGCACTGATTGGCTATTAACTGTGAGCAGACAAAGTGTCAATCAATGCATTGGAGAATACATTGAACATAAATGTAAAGAAACAAAGTCGTTTGTCAGATTTTCCTAACAAGCAATCATATTTTTTAAAATAAGCCCAAAAAAAACCGCAACCTGCAACCCAGGATTTTTTCACGCAACTTAACAAAAAAATGAAGCCCAAAGTCGCATATTATAAGCAGACTTGGCAACTCTGCTTCAGTGCTACATGGTGTTCACAATACTACTGCCACTTGTCTGGTCCACTCACCCCCTTGTCTCTGTCCTTCTCTTTATCTCACTCTCTTTCGTTTTTTTTTCACTAGTGAAATAAGCAAGAAACGGAGGAAAGGTCACACAGCTAGCTATCACCTAATTGCGGTTTCTAGTGCATCTATTTTTATCACAGAGGCATGAAAGCTTCAGGATGTGAGAAGTCGTTGATTCAGAAATCCCTCCACAATGGTAACTGATAAATATGTAATATCAGATTTTTGGCCCTTTTGTTAGGGATACAATGCAAGGCTCAAACTCGCCTTGCCCCCATGAGCGCCACAGGTTAATATGTCAGAGCACATGTGGTAACCACTAGGCCTTTGAATAGTTTGAGTGGTTTTAGTTTATTGATTCATAAGTTGCTTACATTTGTCTGCAGCATTTTTATAGGAATACTTTTAAATATTTTAAATTTTTGGTGTGGTACAAACAAACTGTTATGCATCATTTTGTGGACACCATTATAATTCATTAAAGGGGTCATATGATGCAATTTAAATTTTTCCTTTCTCTTTGGAGTGCTACAAGCTCTTGGTGCATAAAGAAGATCTGTAAAGTTGCAAAGACTAAAGTCTCAAATCCAAAGAGATATTCTTTATAAAAGTTAAGAGTCAACCACGCCTACCTAAAACGGCTCGTTCTAACACGCCCCCACATATCTACGTCACAATGTGGGAAGATTTGCATAACGCCGCCCAAATGTTCACGCAAAGAAAGAAGGTGTAAGTTTTATTCTCGCTGTAGTTTTGTTGTTGCCGCCGCCGCCATGTCGTGAAGGTGCTGTGTTTCGTTGTGAAAGCGAAGCTACTTTGGTTGGCCTTCCAAAAGAGGACGATATCCGCTTTGTCATGCCTGGAGCTGATCCGTGCTGGTCGCTGAGGAAATACATCAACTTCGCGCTGTCGATCACCGGATCGGCTTTCACCGTGGACGAAGCGGAGTCCAGCCCGGGGTCGTCACATGTGGTTGCTGCAGGCATGTTCTTTTTAGCAGCATCATATGACCCCTTTAAGAAGTGCTAAATTATTAGACATTTCAGTGTGGCACATATCTCCTGCTATTTGTGTATTTTCAGTGTGCATAAGAGTAGGGATGCATGATCTTATCAGTACCAGATTTCTTTTCTATTTATTGGTATTGATCGATTTGTTGATATTGACTAATTTCCCCTATTCTTTCATTAAGACTACCTTTGCCATCAAATAGTCGGTTAATCTTAATCAGTTAAATTTGAAAGATTTTTTTTCTTTTATGTTGCCATTCACGGGTTTATCTCCCCTAAAAGTGAACATTGAGTTATTTTAGTTTTTACAGTTTTTGTAATTTAGACTAAAATATCAATTTATATTAATTTATTATTAACCAATTATCTGTTGACACAATTGTGCTTAATTATCTGTATTTTAATTATCTGTACATCCCTGCATAAATAGCCAGCATTTGTTCAGAATACTAGAGGAAAACTCAGAAAATGTTGAAGCCCTATATATTGAACTGCATTCAGATTCATGCAAATGTAAACATGGGCTCTTCCCAGGCTTTGTATGACAAATATTTGTTTATGATGGGCCTTGATTTGAAAAGCCCAGCCAAATGCTTGACTAACCAGAATGGAACAGTAGATTAGATCTTAAGGTTTACATTTGGTCTTTGATTCTCCAAAAATCTTCTTATATTTAGGCTATGTAACATTCAGCATCCATGTAATGTTTGTATCCTAGCATCCACCCTGGGCTGGAACAGCTCAGGGACAGTCCGAAGTGAAAAGGGAGGAAGGAGCACATCAAATCAGAGATGTCCATAATTTTAAATAAGAGCTCAAGGCGAGAACAGTGTTGCACATTTTCCTGTGTGTGTGTGTGTGTGTGTAAGTCAAGCAGTGGCCTGTTCTGCTAAATGATTCACGCAAAAGAGGAGAGAAGATGTGAGGATCAGAGGGAAGGGGAGGGCGGTGTGAAGAAAACCAATTGAAGAAAGAAGAGTGTAGCGTCTGGACCAATCAAACACACAATATATATTTTGTTAGCTATATTTAACAAATACTCTGTAACACCCCTCAGTTAACAAGCCATATGAGGACCTATGGACCCTTCCCCCGAAATGCGTAACACCCTAGGAAAGCCGAACAGGCCCCTGGTCCCCATGGCAACTAATGCTGATACCACTGGTTTTATGACCCCGAGGAATGTGAGCAGAGAGAAAATCACTGCATGTTCCATAGCAAGAGGCACAATGCACAGTAGAAATGGACTTTTCTAATTAATTATAACTAGTTATGATTAATTATTCATATTTCCCTTATGAGTTGATTCGCTACAAGAGCATAGAAAGACCCCAAGGTAGTGAAGATCGTAGAGAGGCAGAAATTATGAAAGGGATGGGAAGGACGTATAGACCACCCAGTTGACACATGCTTGACTGATGGGCTTTGTATCACAGTGAATGTCAGTCAGCCCTGATCTGGCTTCCTGCATGAGCATTGTTTAAAGGCAGGAGGGGAACAGAGAGAGAGAGATGGGATTTAAAGAGGTCAGCACAGCTCTTTGTCTTTAATTTGTTGCCAAACATGCTGTCTGGCATATGTGTAAACCTGTGCACGTCTTCTTTTTATTTTTTTGTAAGAGAGTGTGAGTTTTAGGGTATTAAAAACTGAACTAGGTACATATGTACTGTGCGTCCATAAGATACTTTTAGAATTTCATTCAGATATGTGTTTAATAGATTTCATGGCTATGTGATGATTAAAAAACATATATCGCTTATGTGGTGTTTAAAATCTCTGTAGGCCAAAGTTGTCCTGATTCTATCAGAATTTGGCAGCACACATTAAAGTCAACGTGAAATGAAAATTTCATGTATTCAAAATTTGTGTATCTTGTACACATTAGAACACATTATGTCTAATGTCTAGAACACATTAGTAACCACATAGCAGAACCCTGACAATCACTTTAGCATTGTGGTTGTGTTTCTTTTGGTCAAGCACAATATTTTTTCTTCAGGAAAAAGTACAACTCTGCTTACTAACTTGTTTTAAGAAAACAGTCCTTTCTGTGTTCATGTAGTATTCTTTTATCACTTGGCGTGAGATTCTCAAAGGACATATTACAGCGTGTTTTGGCATGACTCGAAGTGCAGTGGAACCATCATGTCTGTCCTTGGATATCTTAATTAATTAATGCTTTTCCCAATAGAGGTTTATCCCCCAGTTTCTCAGCCATCACTGTCAGCGTGGCCCACCCAGATCCCCTCGCCAAACTCTCTCTGTAGGTTTGGTGTTTTGCGAGAATGCTGTAGAACTCCCCAGCCTACCTTTTTCATCTCAATAACAGCACTCAGAGAAAAAATGACTACCCTGCAGGCAAGAGGGAAAGATATTACTCCTTTAAACACAGTGCTTTCAGATGACTGCCATGTAAAGGAAGAGCATGCACTTCAGACGAGAGCTTTGTCATAAACCCAGTATTCTTTCTCTACCTCTTTTTCTCTTTCTCTGAAAGGGGTCCTGCTGGAGCGGTTTGCATCTCTCATGGGGAGGAAGATGTCAGCAGAAGATCCATATGAGAAGACAAGGCAGATCTTCAGAGCATTTGATGTACACTGTATGTTCCTCCTCTCTTTCTCTCCAGCATTCTGCGTGTTTAACACTTTTGCTTCAATACATTTAAGTTGATACAAAATTAGACTGAAAATGCTAAAGAGTCGCGAATCAAAGGCGTGGAAAATTTCCGGTAAATTTCCGGAAACTTTCCAAAAATCCCTGGAATATTCCAAAAAATCATGGCAAGTTTCAAAAATTTCTGGAATGTTTCCGAAATTTACTGGAAATTTTCCACCTTTTTGCAACCCTAGTTGAAACACAGATTTTGGGATTGTCTTTTGTGCAAGTACAAAGCATATGCAAATTAAATGTGTTTTTTTAGCTGACATATTTCAAGTGCAAATAACAAAACAGTGCAAGCGACAAGTACTAAGGTGGGTATGAATATGTGTGACATACAGTACTAAGTTTAGGCCCCATTAGGCAAGGAGAACTAGAAGTAAACAATGTTAGAGGCCTAGAATAACTGTGAACAAATCACAGTCTAGATTTAACACCGGCAGGAGGACAGATGTGAACCTTGTTGAGCTGATTGGCTTCTAGCTTTGTCATCAGATTCAGTGATGGGTAATATCAGCAGTCTTTCCTACTGAAACCACTAATATAGCAGCAAGGAGCAAAGTTAAATTGGGAATTGAGTTTCTGCACAGTTCAGAACCACAGTTCACGTTTATTGACCAAATTAGTTGTGCAAGAAATTAGACTTGGTGGTCTGCAGGTTTTTTAGTTCCTGTAACTCAGCTGGTAGAGCGTGTTAGAACGTCTAGGGTTTCTATTCCCAGAAAAGAAACATACATATTGGCAAGAGATGTACCTTGAGTTGCTTTTTGAATAAGTGTGTGCTCACTGTATGCAATGCAAGGTGCACTTGTCTCAGGGAAGAAAAACATTGTTTTTAAACTATTATTTTCTAAACAAAGGTCGGTGCTTTTGTCAGCTGTTATATTTGGTAGCAAATTTCTAATGTGTAGTTTACACACGATGGTGGTAGTAATCCCTGTTACTGTGTTTATGACTGCAGTTTTAAAAGAGACCTGTTGTAACTGGGAAGTGTTTTCAGTATTGCAGTTTTATTTTATTGCAGTAGAGGGCGCCATGTGTCTTTTTTTTTTTTTGATGTGCTGTTTCTATCATGCAATGAATATGCTCCATCCTGGTAGTCCCCCAGGTTGAATCTGCTCAGAATGGTCGAGGGATCTTATTTCATTAACCCTGCTGACCCGCCGTTACAGAGGAAAACCAAAAGGGTCTGGCTGCAGCTGGCGCTTGCACTCTCAGACGTGCATTCTCAGGCTTGCACTCTCAGACACTTGCACTTCCGCTAGCGACGTCACTTGCAGTCTTTATTATTTTTTATTTTGTTCTATTTATTGATTAAGTTTTGTTTGAATCTCTCAACATTTTACAACAGTAGCCAGGTGGTGAAGACAAGAAAAAAGAAACTAAATTACGAAGTCACTTGCAGTCGCCACTTGCACTCTCCGCTACCTGCGACGTCACTTGCAATCGACACAAATCGTGCGTGTTGCCAGTGGAGACAAGACGCTGTGGTGATTAAACGATTATTTATTTTATTTTATTTATTTATTTAGTCATTTATTAGAGGCTTTTATCCAAAGCGACTTACAAATGAGGACAACAGAAGCAATCAATTGTAGTATTAAAACAACTAAAAACAGATCCAAAACTAAAAGCTAAAACTTTATAAATACTACCTATACACATTTTAAAAATAAAGAGATTAAATAAAAATGACAAATGCATACAACGAAATTTCAAAACTTAACATTTAAAAGAAAAACAAAAAATAAAGCTAAAAACAATTCAAAATATTAAAGAACAAAAGGTACTGTATAAGAGTATAATAATGATTCTAACATAACACTAAGCCAAACACACAAAAAAACAACTACATATGTGTATGTACAACCTCACACACATACATATATATATATATATATATACACATTTATAAATTATAGAACAAAATAAAAAATAAAAAAGACTGCAAGTGACGTCGCTAGCGGAAGTGCAAGTGTCTGAGAGTGCAAGCCTGAGAATGCATGTCTGAGAGTGCAAGCGCCAGCTGCAGCCAGACCCTTCTCAGGAAAACGGGTGTGTTTGAGCAGAATATTTATACATGTGAAGACTGCCTCTTCAGTAGATGTTCGATGGACCCATTATTGCCTGAAGCTGACTCTCTCGTTCACTTTCTGTTTATCTAGGTATCTCATTTGCTTTCTCAGACTGCTTTCAAATATCTCCGACTTCCTGTGAGCCTCCCAATCAGGATTTGGAGCATTTTTACATCCTCCCAGGACCTAAAATAGTCTCCAGCAATAAGTAGTAGGCATTTAAAAAATACAGTTGGCTTTTAATTAGAATTGTGAATGTTAATGAACCATCAAATTCATCTCGAGGACCAAATTGCTGTGAGCGAGTTCATTCAACCCTTGTGCGAATTCTGAGCGACCTGAAAATGAGCTAATTTTAGAACCGAGATTGGAAGTCAGATTCTGACTTAAATAGATTTGTAAATCAGCACTGAGAAATGATAGTGCTATAAAGTACACTTTGTATGAAATCTGGATCTTTTTAAAAATGAAATTGGCTTTAGAGATTCACCGATCAACCAGCCAGGGACTGGAATCAGCCGATTTTCCACATGATCGGCCCAGACAGATGACCAGCCGGTTAGTCGCACGTCTTGCTGATTCTGAGCCGGTCCGTGAAGATGACACAAAGTTCACAATTTGTAATAAGATTAACGCTTGAGTGGGACAAGTAGATTTTTAAAGGGGCAAGTGAGAAGCCTGATTAAAACGTCAATAACAAAAATAACTAGGGAAGCACTGAAACTTGGCATCCAGAAATTTTCGCACGAGAATTCAGGTGTGCAGCCATAATCAGTACCTGAGATTATCATTGTCATAGTTTGTATGTTGTTGACTTCGCATGTCACCATTGCGGCTGGTTAGAATAAAAACTCAGATTAACATGGATGGTGTCGTGGCGCGTGTAGTTAGGACACATTGTAAAGGTCCTTGCATACTGAGTCCGAAATTTTCTTATGTGTTTTTTCGTATTTGTCATCCTAAAATATGTCACGCACAGAAACCTTGCACACTGAACACACTGAGTCTGATGCATATTAAAGGGTTAGTTCACCCAAAAATGAAAATTAGGCTGTGTTTTACTCACCCCCGAGGCATCCTAGGTGTATATGACTTTCTTCTTTCAGACGAATCCAGTCGGAGTTATATAAAAAATTGTCCTGGCTATTCCAATCTCTATCATTGCAGTCAGCGGGTGTTGCAGTGCTTCAGTCCAAAATAAATAAAAAGCGCCCATCCATAAAAAAAAGTGTCTCACACAGCTCCGGGGGGGTGAACAAAGGCCTCCTGTAGCGAATCGATGCATTTTTGTAAGAAAAAAAAACATATTTAAAACATAATAATCAATTTAATCTAGCTTGCTAATTAGAAGTACAAAACGAGGATTTGTAAAGAAGAATGTCAGAGGATTTCGATATAAGCCAAGAGGAGACTGGTTTTCCTTTGCTAAAGTAAGGAAACTTTGCTTCCTCCTGTAAACAAACATTGGTTTTCACGAGACTCACCTACGCATGCACAACGCTGACCTCATACGTCATCCGCTGCTTCCGTGTACAACTGTTGGCGCAAGCTAGATTAAAGTGATTATTACGTTTTGAATATTGAATATTTTCTTACAAAAACGCATCGATTCGCTACAGGAGGCCTATGTGATTTTTTTGCATTGAAAAAAAGTAGATTTTTGTTTGTATATGCTGTCAATTATAGTTCTTAGAAAGAAAATCAGAAGGACAACTGTCAGGCAGGTGTTCTCCAGCAGAGCTTACATGCAAGCAAAGTGTCTTAATAATTTCAGCAGTTCCCAGATTGATTGTCTTTGTTCCTCTGCCAGCTAAGCTTAAACCCTCTGTCCTGGCTTTCTCTGCCTGATGTTCCTGTCAGACTGCCAACAGAGGCAAGTCCTCTCCTATCTGCGGCTGAACAGTTTGAGCTGGATGAGATGTTTGACTGTTTCATCTGCGCCATCACCCCCGTCCTCATCTTCAATGGGGACGCGCTGGAAGCTAAAGCGCGCTGAAGTGCGTCGCTCCCATTCAGAGCTGAAGTGGCCGCCTGCCTGGTGACAGAGCATGCTCGGTGCAGTTGGAAACCCTCCCGGTCTCACCTGGTGTGAAAGTGAGCTGAGTTCCCTGCCGATTCCTGCTCATGCATTGATGTCAAAACATTTGTTTTCTTGTGCATTCAGCGAATAAATCATGCAATTATGCACCTTTCTAACACTTCAGATCCTTTTACATATGAGATGTGACATTTTTCTAGATTTGCACAGGTCCTGTGGTTTCCGCAGGTGTCCGCTCTCATCCCTATTGCCGTGGCTGTGGAGGGCAGTGTTTGGTTACGCTTGGTGAGCTTGTTGTCGGGTCCGACATGTTGACATGCATGTCACAGTGCTCCGCGACCCCCACCACCCCCCATAATCCCCTCGCTCAGTGCGCCGCTGTGCCTCTCATCAATTCAGCAGACAGGCTAAACAGATTCCACTCTCAGCTCTGACTTTGGATGCGAGCGCTCTAAACTTCCTCTTGGGAGCCATTTCCTGCAAATCAAAGTCCTGCGTGCCAGCCGCTGAGAAGAAGGCACAACAAGCTGTTCCTTTGAGCTTTCTGGAAGAGGCTCCAGGAGACACTCTGAGATCTCAGCCGGTCTTACTTCTCGCTCTCACAATATCAGGCAAAAAACTGCAAGTGGACTTAGGTATACTTCATTTTCCACGCCGACTTGCGCACTGTTAAATGTGTAAGCTTTTCAGAGTGTACTCCTTTGACCATGAGTGTGGATGGACACATCTGGTGAACCATTCTTTTCAAGTGCTCAGATCATTCACACATGCACTGTTGTAGTGCTGGGCAATTTTTCTGATTTTATTGAATAATTAGATTTTTTAAATTCCTTTTTTCACTGTTTTGAATAAAGAGAAGCAAATATTACAATTAGACATGTTGATGATACGCCAATGGTTACAGTTAAGAGAAAAAAATGTAAAACATATCCATAGTCCTAATCGGGTATTCACACAGAATGTTTTTTTGGAAAAAAACAAGACACAGGCAGTGGAATGAAAAAAAAAAAAGCAAGGTTATGAGATGCGAATTGAACTTCTTTTTTAAACTTGAGCACTGCATATTAGAATGCCATTTAATGCACCACACACTACAAGAGACATAAGACGCTAGCACAACGGTCAAGCACATCCACCAAGTGTGGTCAAACATTCTGAAAAAATCGAGATTTTTTCACAGACTCACAAACTGGGCTGTATTCTGATGGTGTGTGTGAACCTCAGCAGACTAAACTGATGATGATAATTACGTTACACACAGACAGTCTGTGAGCCAGAACAGAACGCACACAAGGGAAGGTATACTTTTGGCTTTATCCTCCAGCCTTTTAGTGGCTGGAACAAGCAGAGAAAGCTGATTTTATTCCTTAAGATAAGCAAAAATAATGAGAGAGCGCTCTCAGGTGTGCTTATCTCATCCTCTTTGCTTGATCTCATGCAAGTGTGGCGCTCTAATAAAACACCCGGCCCTGCAGTGAACAACTTTTTGATGTTTTAAAGTATTAGTCTTGTTAACTCTTGCTCTGGGTTTGTGCTCTCTACAGGTCGTGGCTTCTTGAAGCTGGATGACTTCAAAAGCGCCTTCAAGCGAGTTGCCCCTCGTCTGCCGGAGAGGACTGTGCTGGAGGCTTTCCGGTAAGAGTTCAGGTTCACGGCCTCTCTGTAGATGCATCATTCAGAGGGTTCTCTGATCGCTCATGTTTCCATCATCTTTCTTCTTGATTTCCTTTTCCAAAGTAGATTACAAAGGCAGATGGATGTAATTACACCGTGAATGTGTAGTCAGAAAGGGATTTTTGCACCCATCAGTCAGAGCAGGCCTCCCACTTCAACCTCAGCAACAAGCTTTTGGCCAGAGCTTTGTTACTCGAACTCCTCCAGTGTGAGGGAAAATGTTTGATACAGTCCCATGTGAGAGTAGCACATTTCTGAGAGTCTGGAGGCTTGCGGTGTTGAGATCTGGCTGCTCATTAGGGTGAGAACAGTTCCTTTGTGCCATGCTCCCTGTTGAGTTTCTCAGCCCCTCTCCACTCCTGTTCAGGCTCCATGGCTACTCCACGTGTCTCTGAGCACCTCATCTTCACCGTCTCACTCAAAACTGCTCTGAACAGGTGGGATTCTGAGTCTGTGCATGCTGTGCGTTCACACCCATTTCAAACAGTTATCACTAGGCCCAGAGCTATCGCTGGATCCCAAAGCCAATACGACATTCGACAATCTCCCACTAAGATCTCTGCATTACTTTCGTACTATGATGTATCTAGAGGTTTCAGCTTGTCCCTGCGTTTGCAGTTATAGTGACACATTATTATCAGCCCTCAGCCGAGTCTCTCTTCTGGGTTTCTACTCCTTTTGAAGAGGTGACGTGGTTATCGTACGCAGTTCTGAGATGGGGGCAATTAATCTCTTTCGTCCTTTGTTTTTTTTAATTAAATGCCACAGTCGTGTCAGAACTGAAGCGCTAAGGGCTTATGTCACGAGAAATCATGTAGCGTGACATTAGACATTCGATTTTGTATCTAGCGACTTCTTATTTGGCATTAGGACTGTAGCTAATGATTATTTTGAAAATCGACTAATATAATGATCCAATATTAATCTGCTATGCGATTAATCACATCTTTTTTTAGAACATCTTGATATTCTTAAAATCCCAAGAGCACTCTGTATTTCTTCACAGTGTTTCCTGTGCCATTTTTTACGAACACAATCTTCTTAATACATCAAAAACATACACCACTACCAGTGTAGTCTGATTTGCAAACAAATAACTTTTTTTTTCTTTTCAATACCATCATTTTTGGTTGTGTTGATTATATCTTTTAGAAAGTGGACTGCATAGTTTGGGCCCAGTTATAATTTTTTGTAAAATTAGTATTTTTGTTAGAAGTTTCCTTGTATAAGGCAATAGCTAAGAGATTTTCTTTCATATGCAGGCGAAAGCTGAATTATACCCAAAAGTAATCTAAATTGGAATATAATTAACTTCAGAAATTATTTTGAGTAAAATATTGCAATTGTTGTTTTAGTATTATTCATATACTATTATATGAAGTAGCTTTTATTTTTATATTTTCAGTTTAAGTTTTAGCACTTTTGTTGCATACTTTTTGGAATTTTATTAGATATTTATATTCTATTTAGCTTTATTTTAATAATTTTTAGTAATTTTAGTACTTCTTTTGTATGTACTTTCGATGTTTAAGTTTATTAAGAATATTAGAATGTATCTAATATTCAATTTATTTCAGCTTTATTTCAGTTTATGAAAACTTTTTTCTTTTTCCCTTTTTTTTTGTTAACTTTATTTTAAGGACCAATTCTCACTAATAACTAACTGCTTATTAGCATGCATATAACTAGAATATTGTCTGTTTATTAGTACTTATAATGCACATATTAATGTCTTGTTCTGCATGACCATGTTTTAGATCCCTTAATCCTACCCCATAACTAAACTTAACAACTACCTTACTAACTAGTATATTGAGGGAAAACTCTTAATTAATAGTGAATATGTGTTCCCTATTCTAAAGTGTTACTTTTTTTATTTGTAGTTAACAATAACACGGTCAACCTAATATTCAACAACAAAAATACGATTGAGCAAATTTTTACTGTCAAATAATGCTGACTTCTCGTTTTAGCTCTGTTTGGCTAAGCTGGTGATTCCCTTTCGTCCTCTCAGGTGTTGACCTTCACCAGTAGATGCGTATCTCCCATTATGAAAAGCCATGTAGATGTTTGACTAAGCAAGAGTAGAGAAGCACCTGGAACAAACAGGAACACTTGGAGCACTCTATGTGTGTGTATTTGTGTCTTTGTGTGTCAGTGTGTGCGCGCTCTGGTCCCCAGCTAGCGCACGTTCAAAGTCATAACCTTCACGCTGCTGTGCCATCTTGTTTTCCTCTCTCCACCTCCTCCGGTTCTCCTCCACCCCATCATCCTGCCACTGCTGACAGAGTGTGGCAGCAAACGGACCGAATGGGAAAAAAATGGAATTCCAAGGAAGAAGTGAAGGAAGAGAGAGAGAGCTCACCTTGAATGTTGTGTTTGGAGTTTATCTGCAAGCCCAGGGCTGTGTTTAGAAAAGATTATCACAACAAAGTGATAAGCGGGAACGTCCGCCTTTGGTGTCTCTTTTAGAGGGTGCATGGGGTGCCCCGTGTGCGTGCAAGCATGTGTGTGCGTGTTGTCAGGTTTGCTCTTCTTTTATACCTTGAGATGAACTGAAGTCTCTCTTTTGAATCTGTGTTTATGTTGCGACCCCGTTGTGAAGAAAAGAGCAACACCCTTTTCCTGTTCTTTTTGGCATAATTATAGCAGAACAATGGAGCGCCCTGCAGGCTTCACACCATTAGCAGACGTGCTGTTGCCTCTTTATGCGCTAGAGATTGATGGACATGTGCTGCCTCTCTGAATGAATGTTAACACCGCCATTTCTCCCCGCTGCTTGTTGCCATGACGACGTGGTACGCAGAGCTGGTGCCATCACACCTTGAGTGCTGCCTGCAGTTGTTTTTCTTTTTTTCCCTTCTTCTTTCACTACTCTCTGTGTTTCTCTTTTGTTGTCACCGTTTCCAGAGCAACTATCTGCCATCACCTTTCCATAAATACCTGCTGCACACACATTCTTACAGTTCTTGAGTTACAAGAATGCAGCGTTTTTTTCCATCTTATTCACTTTATCCTCCTCCCCCTCCACATCGCTCTCGTTCTCTCGCCCGCTGAGGAATCTCAAGTTTCTCATTGTTCTTCTCCTCTCTGATGCCCCAGCTTTAGCCTTGTTGTGCTGACAGACTTGTCCTTACTAATAAGTCTAAAGGAAAAGCCCATTTTGCACTGTACATCCTTTCATTCTCATTTAGTGGAGCTTTTATGTGCATTTGTCGACTGAGCTTCTGTACATCTATTAAACCTGACCACTTTGCATATATCTTCTTTTTCTTGTGAATATATACAGGACTAACTGAAGTCGGAGAATTGTGCCCATGGAGCAGTCAGGTGCTAAAAAGTGTTATGTTGGTTGCTAAAACAAATCTTTTGTTTTATTCGACAATGGTCATTTATGTCAATTGAAAATTGCTTTTTTTTGGACTCTAGTATACAGGTGCATCTCAATAAATTAGAATGTCATGGAAAAGTTCATTTATTTCAGTAATTCAACTCAAATTGTGAAACTTGTGTATTAAATAAATTCAATGCACACAGACTGAAGTAGTTTAAGTCTTTGGTTCTTTTAATTGTGATGATTTTGGCTCAAATTTAACAAAAACCCACCAATTCACTATCTCAACAAATTAGAATACTTCATAAGACCAATAAAAAAAAACATTTTTAGTGAATTGTTGATACACGAGTTTCACAATTTGAGTTGAATTACTGAAATAAATGAACTGGTCCACGACATTCTAATTTATTTGGGATGCACCTGTATATCAAAATCAGAATAATGGTAATTTTTAATAATCGTTTTTATTCATATATACTCATAAATGTAATTTGTTTAGAGAATTTGACTGCACTGTTTAAAAAAAAAAAAAAAAGAAGAAAAGAATCGTCTTGTAGGAGTTGTTTGTTTCTGAATCAGACTACACTGATTATGTTGTATGTCAATTGAAAATCACTGTTTTTACCCAGCCCTAGTATATACTGGATGTCATTTACAATAGTGGATTTTTATTTCAAATTTGTCAGTTTTACTTTTAAATTAAGTAAAACAAAGAGAAAAGCCTGTAGAATAATGGAACCACTTGCCCTTATCAATGAAAAATTGTAATTGCATCTCTCTTTCAATTGCAGCGATGAGTGCCGGTTTACTCATACTCTCCAAAAACGTGTTCTCTGCGTCTGTCTTCAGAGTCTCCCTAATCTGAAATGGAGGCTAATGAAAAAGTGAATTAATTAGCATCCCTAAATTAAACTTCTCTAGGAGTTTTATCTTATTAACCATTGAGGGCTTTTTATGTGCCTTTAAAAAATATTAATGCAAATCACCTCACAATTTGAACGCCTAAAGCCAGCCAAGAGGTTATGGCGAGTATCTCGCTTTCACTCTCTCTCTAAAAGAAAGGATTTTCATACCTCTGTTTTTAAATATGCATGCATCATGCCCCCGGTATCTCATACTGTCCTGTTTGGTGGCTTCAGTACTAAGGAGACCAGCCGAGAAGAGTGGCGAAGAGAGAGAGAAATGGGTGGTGGGAGGAGAAATGAGGAAAAACTCCTACAGATCAGTAGCAAATTAGCCCTGCCTGGTCTCAGCATGAGTGCATTTACAGCATATTGAGAGTTTGCCCTTTCCCTTTGCCACCATATCAAGGTAATTACATTTCCTTTGTAGTGCTCTGAAAGGAGGTATTGCTGGCCTGGAGTTTCACTGCCCGCCCATGGAAGCACAGAGTGCATAAATCCCTTAAAATAGCTATTTTTTCCCCTCTTCCTGCTGACACAATCCGCTTAATGAAGGCACAATAACGCAGCCAACTCAGCTCTGTGCTGGACACTCAGAAAGCTGCTAATGGTGAGCTGAAGAGCGGCTTTTGGAAACATAAACATTATTCCTTCACACATATCACTTACACAAGCAAACTCTCTCTCACGACCGTTTGACAGTGCAATGGACCCGGTTTTGT